GGTACGCTCCAGCTCCTCGTCCAACGTCGACCGCCAGCGCGCGGGAACATACGCTGGTGGTGCGCCACCAGCGAGGTACCTGCCGCGCCGCAGCGGCACGGGCGGGTGGAGGGTACACGGTCATACCGCCGCGAGGAGGGACACCGTAAGGGCGAGGGCGGGAGACAGGACGGGCGTAGGGAGAACAAAGCGGTGGAGGGAGGATGGTCATCACGACCGAGGAACACAGGGAAGGCGGCTGAGGACTGAAGATTCAGGAGGGTAGCTGGGGCGGCGAGACGAAAATAGCTGGGTCTGGGGTAGGGCAGATTGGCTGGCGAATTCTAGTGAGTTACCACGAATCAACCATGAATGGCGTTAGTTATATATACGCAAATAAATGTCGTTGGTTAGGAGCTGGCACATACATGTCGTAAGTTCGGTGTAAGCGTATCATCAAGCCTGAAAGCTGTGTATAAAAGCGGCTTAGCTTAGAGTGATGGCACACGAATTCAGCAGCGTAATGGTGTCACCTACATGAAAATGACTGGGCCCAGTTCATATAGAGCCCCTTTGCTGCTAAGTGACACTCGTTGGAAAGGGCGACCCGACAGATGGGTACATATAGGTACACGCTCTTACACACCTGACCAACGTTAGTAAAAGTGTCCCTGGCTTTGAGTAAGTGTCACTTTAGCAAAGTGACACTAGCCATAGCCAACGTACTTTGCGCTATGAACTAGGCCCTGATACATTCCCTCGTAGGACAGTAGAATACACGGAGGCTTAAGTTCATGAAAACCTACACTCAATCCCTTATGTATATAAAACTAGTAACCTCTGACCCATGTTCAACGGAATCTCTCCTTTCCACCTTTCCCACAGCGCCTATTCACCACTCCACTGATAACTCCCCTCCCCGTTTAAGCGTCCCCTCCTCTCCTCCGACCCAGGGCGGCCACCCACCGCTCCACGAAGTAGCTGAAGTCGCCCAGCAGGTCACAGACCCTCAGTCCATTACGCGTCGCCTTGGACGAGTAGGTCGGTCCAATACCCTTCTTTGTGGTGCCCAGCGACTTTTTGCCACAGCTCGCCTCCGTCTCTCGTTCCTTCTCGTGTAGTCCGTCCACATCCTGAGGAAGGGGGATGAAGTTAGAAACTTCGGGAGGGAACGCCACGGAGGAGGGAAGAGGAGAGAGAAAGAGTCAGAAGAGGGATGAGAGACAAAGGAGGGAGGGAGGAAGAGAGGGAGGGAGAGGGAGAGGGAGAGGGAGAGGGGAGAGAGTGTGAGAGAGAGAGAGAGAGAGAGAGAGAGAGAGAGAGAGAGAGAGAGAGAGAGAGAGAGAGAGGAGAGAGAGAGAGAGAGAGAGAGAGAGAGAGAGAGAGAGAGAGAGAGAGAGAGAGAGAGAGGAGAGAGAGAGAGAGAGAGAGAGAGAGAAGAGAAATGGGCAATTAAGTAAAAATACAGAGGAAAAGGGGGAAAGTGTACGAGAATTACTAAAGAACAGATCACCGCCCAGCTTTTCAGATGGGCTGCCGTCAACAGATAACTGTGTCGAAGTCACAGGAAGAGTGTTGAGTGAGAGCATATCGGTCACTGAAAAGAGCAAAGGTCAGCAGAAAGTGTGACAAGCGCTGTCTGCTGGTGCTGTGACCACATCTACGCCCCGATTAGTCCCGACTCCGAGAGACGTCGTCTGACAGCGCCAAAATGGCGTCTGAAATAACACCACTCCGATAAAAACTGCGTCCCGGCGCGGGATCTACCAATGGTGCTTCATGTTAGAAAAGGAGTGAAACTACATATAACACTTAGAAGCAACAAAAACCAGATGGTACACCTAGGGTTTCAAGATTAATGTAGGCATAATAGGGCAAATGACAGAATTTCAAAATACGTCATAGAGCGCCAGCTGCGCACGATCTTCTACGTATCTTAATTCTTCACATGTTTCCCCTGTATAAAAACATCACACCATCGATCCAGCTGGCCTGTCAAGCCCGTCTCCGCCGTCCCCCGTCACAGCTGTGTCCACGGTCACCTGGGGGGGGGGGGGGGCACGAACCCCCCCCCCACGCCCCCGCGGGGCAGGGGGCGGGGAACGACTGGCTGGCACCGGCCACCGGCCACGGCGCGGTGCCAGGCCTCGGACCTCAGCGAGTGCGCCGGCGGCCGTCCCGGCCCGGCACGCCCACCCCAGTGGTGACGGGACGGGATGGGTCGGTCAACGGCGCGCTGACAGTGGGGGTAGGTACTACCGAGGGTACTTTACTTTATCATTGCAGGTAAATGCAGGAAATGATGTTCCACTGCAACAGCGACCGATGGTTAAAAAAGAGGATCGATGGGAAACCAAATGCCTGTTTCGTATCAGAATAGCGTACACTCACATGCATCAGCAAACATAACACTGAAGAAACTGTAACGATTTCAACCGCCATACCAAAAGAGATGTTCCTCGAATAATACCTAACTACACAAGAAAACCACTTTACCACACACTCCTAGGCCCTCACAAATCCTGAGCACCCTGTACTATGTCAAAACAATGTCACGAATCTCATTCCTAAATCCTTGCATTCACTATCCCTACAGCCAAACAAACCTTCCCATTCTCCCAACCCTGTCAGCTAACGCGACTTCCTAAACATTGCAGTGTCTCCCGACTTTCCGACCGGGGCCATCGGTCCGTACGGGGACACCTCTGGTGACACTGACACGTCAGCTGCCCATCGGATTCAGCCGTGTCACCCTGGGCGCCTCTCGCGTGTCATCGCGTGTCATTCCTCCAGTCTCGGTGACACGCAGTCCCGTCGTAGGGGGGGGGGGGGGTGGTCACGCGTGGTCTCGTCTCTCATGTGTTTACTCAGGCTGTCTGCTGAAGGTCCCACCAGGCTCCGGAAGGCTATGGCCAGCGGGCGGCCAGCCAGAGAGGACAGAGCCGACATTGTGGCCGGACGAGGGTGGATGCGTACAAAGCTCATCAGCCAAACGGCACGTCAACCGTCACGAGGAGAAATGACAAGGCAGGCGGCTGCGCTGAGCGTACGTACGCCCGACCGAAGAATCATCTGCGGCGCAGGAATATGGCCGGTGTTATGAAATATCACACATCTACTCAGAAATGCCTGGAGTTGCAGGCTTCCAGTAGATCACCACATTTCAGCCAGTTCAGTATGATGATAACTGATAAATGTGTTTGCAGCGGTTGAGGACAGTAAACGGTTGAAACATTGGAAAGTTGAGTGTTCTTTTGAGCAATGGGCATTGCGACTGACTCCACTCGATTAATACAATGTGAAAGGGGCAGTGATAAGTCAATATCAGCGGCTTTCCCAAGACCAGATGAACATTTTCCGCTAGTCTACAACTGCATATCTATTAAACATTTGAATGAGCTACAGTTGCTGAAGTAATTAAAAGAGAGGAAAAAGAGGCTCGGCTCGGTGTTGAGTTTTAGTAAACAGTCTTATCTAACTGACCTCGCAACAGCTCGGTAACTACAGGGCCCAGCATGCCCTTTCAAATGAAACCATTCCGAAACAGACCACGAAGCTTATTCGAACCTTGATAAAAATGCTGAGAAAAGCCGGCCAGTCCAAACAAACGTTTGCCACAAGCCAGAAATCGATGATTACGATCTGTGACACATCCAGCCTACTCAAGCCTCATCTACTCATTTTTTTTTTGTATGATTAGAGGACGTGAGCTTGCAAATGCTAACGGTTTGACAGAAAGCCAAACCGTTGATAATATTTACCTTCGAATTTCGTTAGGTCCTGTGTTGTCTTTTCATTCAAGGACGACTGAAGCAAAACGACATATCTCCAGGTCGTAGAAAACGAACATTTATCTTATCTTGCAATAAACCTTGCACAAATGACCTTCTTGTAACATAAATCAGCCCCCAATGTATATACAGCTGCTGCAAGGACTTTTTGAAGCCACAGCCCCGGCAGTACCAGCCGGCTGCCGCTGCTGTTCAGGCTCACAGATACAGGCCGGTCGTCCCCGGTGTGAGGCTTTGACGGCGTGTAACTTACACACCAAGGCGGCCGGGTCTGGTGATCTCAGCAATGGGACGGCCGCTGCCGCTCTCAGCGTTAGGGCATCCGGTGGCCTCTAAACGCCTCAGACCAGTTTCCGGCTCGCCTCTGCAGCCTTGCCACATGACCGGCACACCCCGTACTGCATCAGTACCAAAACCTCACCACGTGCCCAGACCAGCCTGGTCTCATTTCAAAGAAACGACTGCCGGCGTCTGCCCGAATCCGGTGAGAGATAGTCCCACGGGAGGGGTCATGCTACACCGTCAAGAGTGAGTATAAACACACACGGAGGGTGCAGTACGCACTCGTCTCGCCGAGCGCCTGGCCTGCGCTGACTACACCACACCGCGCCGGACAGCGTTCGTGTAGCATTTAGCGCTACATCGGCGTGCTACACGGCGGAGTATGCGGCCGACCGGCCCATTCCGGTCATAGCTGGAATGCCGCTAAGGTCAGGAGGTCAGCGTGGTTGTCGCCATCGATCCCGGACCGGCCAGTCTCCAACAGCGGGGGTTGAACGTGAGGACTGGTACAGAAACATACGCTGGGTTATACAATGCGGGTCAGGGCGACACGACGAGACACTGACCGCTCTTCAGTATCATATTCCGGCTTCGCGTTTTGTCGTCAGTGCCCGAAGCAGCAGGCCTCATTTTATTCACATCGGACCCAGGCTGAGGAGCGTCGGGTCCAGCTGGGACAGTAGTAAAGGTGCTTTGAGCTCAAAATCAGACCAAAACAGGAGTGTGCTGAGTTCCCCCCAACTTACCGCCCGGCATCCACCGAGGAATGACTAGCAAAATTGGTGACGGTCCATCGTTTTGTCCGCATTTCAGCCACGAAACAGCTCAGCATCATCAAGACAATTCAAATTGTACACTACAATACTGATAACCAGACGGTTGGTTCACGGCCAGTGTGTTACCTGATGCATGTCAAAGACCAGGTGAGCGCGACTGGATATTTTCAAGTTCTCTCGCCAGTGCGTCAGTCCTTTTGCCTCATTTTTCTCAATCTCTTCAAACATCTGAGGCAGGTGGATGACCACTCCGTTTCCTGCAAAAGACGGCTGGTTACGAAATGGCAAGATGTATGTCTCGAGGGCTTGGTTGTGATTGGAGGGTGAATAGAAGGAGCAGTCTATGTTTATTGATCGCTATCTATTTATTGACAGACCGATACTAGGTCTGGAGGTGGTGACGGCATGCACCATCTGATGGCGATGTCGGTGGCGATGCAAGTCACCGGGGTGAGAGGGTTACATCCGGGTTCGGTGACGAGATGAAACATCCAGCAGGGCTCAGAGGTTCCCGCCAACTGGCTCAACAAACAATAACAATCGCACCGTCAGGATGATACAGGGTCACGGTGGACTAGCCCCTGGCAACGTCTGAATCAATGGCACAGGATGTCGTAGGCCGTAGCCGTTGGGGTACCCACCCTGAAATAAGAAACTAATCAATAGAAGTGACGAAAAGTGTGTTCAGTATAAAGATGGATTGCTCAAAATATTGTAAAATGAGGACAGACCACCGCTAAGTAACAGCGTAGCATGCTGAACGCTCATTAATTCCGAAAATGAGTTTGCAAAACATCACTGGCCGTCTCACCAATCAGCATATTATGATGTCCACAACCACCCATTCCGCCCCAGCCCCGGGACAGAGATCAAGAGTGTTTGGCAGCAGAAGTCGTCGGGTCTCACACACGAGCTCACCAAGAACGGCCGGACAGTGCTCGTGGACTGACTCGGACTCACCGATGTTCGTGGACTCATTCGGACTCATCAGTGTCTGACTGGAGTGTGGACTCACCAATAACGGCCAGACAGTGCTTGCGGACTGACTCGGACTCATCAGACAGTATTTACCTATGGACTCACTGTCAAAGGTCCAGGCAGTGTTTGTGGACTGACTCGGGTTCACCAGACAGTGTTTGTGGACTCACCGATTACTCCCATACAGTGTTTGTGGACTGACTCGGGTTCACCAGACAGTGTTTGTGGACTCACCGATTACTCCCATACAGTGTTTGTGGACTCACCGATTACTCCCATACAGTGTTTGTGGACTGACTCGGGTTCACCAGACAGTGTTTGTGGACTCACCGATTACTCCCATAGTGTTTGTGGACTCACCGATTACTCCCATACAGTGCTTGTGGACTCACCGATCACTGCCAGGCAGTGTTTGTGGACGATGCCACTGGGCAGGATGTGGAAGTCGTACTCGGTGCCGTCCACGACCACTGTGTGCCCGGCGTTGTTCCCGCCCTGCGGTAAACGAGCACAGCATCGGTTACACCGCGTGGAGGGGCTATATTGGCTCCATGTCGCTCACATGGTCAGCATAGTCAACTCACTGGCATATGATGTACAGGGTGTCTCAAAAGTTCGTTCACAGGTACCAGCCATGCTTTTTTGTCAATAATTCTGAATCAACAACTAATTAACGGTCGAAATTTTGCATGGGCATTCGTAACAACCTTCCTCAAGCAGTCTCATTGTTTTCAAGCGCATTCGACCCTTCATGAGCTCACAAAAAGGGTTCATCTCTGACCATGGGTCAGGCATGAAAATGGAGGTCGCAAAATCGGGTCGGCTGAGAAAATCTCTATTTCAGGAGTAATGGGAATGGTTAAGTCGAAAATGGCCCATGGCAAACTGTCGGCGAGGATGAGTACAACATGATTATCATCTAATAAAAACGGTGGCTAAAATTTTTGAAGGACAAAACCATGCGAGACTAACAGCGTTTTGAACGACCCTCGTACGGCAGCAGACTCGTGCTCCGGAAAGCAGCTTAAAATGAAGTCATAACTATTGAAAACTGACAAGAAGCTCACAGACAGAGGTTACCCAGTTTCAAAAATTGCAGGTCATCGTAAAATAAAGACAAAGTATCATTTTAAATTTTTTATTATATCTATAACGCTAAATTTTGGGGGAAAATAACACGAAAATCGTCAATGCCAAGGACAACTGACCCTCCAAAAGTGTCAATTAATGTAAATTTTTATCTTACGAAGTTTCAAGAGGCAGATCTGGAGCGAATAGCTTTCTTTTAGACACAAAATCCCGACAAAACCGCATGATGGACAGGTTTTGGCCGTTTACAAAGCAGAACGTCTCCTGAGGAAAACACTCCGCAACCCAGTGAAGATCTTGTCATGGGGAATGATGAGCGTTTGGGATTTGCAAAATTTGCACAACGTGTCTAAGAAACAGATGGCCGACACATTCTTCTACGATATGCTGCGAAAAATTTGCCCCTGGCACTTCCCATTTGTTCAGGAATGGGGTTGTTTTGAAAAGGAAAATGGTGCTTGGGAGGTCGGCGCCAGTCATTCATGAAGGAGTTAGCGCCAGAGAAGACCTACAAAATACTCACGGATGGTGTCGATGCAAGCTGTCGGCTTTCAGGGAGAAGCGGATGTTGCCGGGGAGCTCGTCAAACCTAAATCCGACGCAGAAACTGCAGGGGATTCCCCTACAAGAGCTTGAAAGCTGGTAACCTTTTATCAGCCTCCGACAGCTGACGGAGCGACGAAAATCGGTATGGACAAATATTTTTGGAGATACAGCAAATAGTTTGATTTCCAGCCTTCCGAATCAGTTGTCAAAGCATGCATATTTGTCTAGTGTGCACACAGACACCAAAACCTTAGATTTTTGGCCGGTTCTTATATGCTTTATGGGCATGGGAAATGTGTGAACAAACTTTTGAGACACCCTGTAGGTACTCAATAAGTGAGCTTGATTACGAGCGAGCGAGCGCAGCGAGCGAAGCGAAGTCTTTTTACGAGCGAGCGAGCGCAGCGAGCGAAGTGAGTCTTTTCAATATAACGGAAAAATCTCAGTATGAGCGGCCCGGCCCGGCCCAGCCCGGCCCGGCCTGTAACGCTTTTGAGAGGCTTATAAGTTATATCTCAGAGCGATTGTCTTGCTGTCATTTTTATAGGGTAGCTGCATCCCTTCTACCAAAGGTCGGATACTCTTGATCTATGTGAGTGACCCCCACTGCACGTGCAAAATACAACAATAAGAGGTGCCAAATTTGTTCCCATTTCAGTAACTCGGTAATTACTGGGGCGATTTCGCTGAAACTTGGCATACAGGTAGGCACCCACCAGGCAATGCATTCTCATGTGTTGCGGTTAGGGTGCTACTGCACGTGTGCACGTGCAGGGGGCGTTTCCAGATCTCGATAACGGCTGGGCCGATTGCGCTCAAATTTGGTACACGGTTGGGGACCGGTTAGTAGAGTGCCGTGCAAAAGTCATTTTGGACCCCGTTTGCACGTGCGCACGTGCAGAATGCCGCTTCCAGATCTCAGGAACGGTTGGGCCGATTGCGTTCAAATTTGGTACACCGCTGGCGACCGGTTAGAAGGGTGCTTTGCACAAGCCCGTTGGAAGTACCCTCTCGCCCTTCTGCACGTGCAGGGCTCACTATCTCGCTCGCTCGTTCTTTGCCCAAAAGGCGTTTTACTGGTATTGAAAAGACTTCGCCTCGCTCGCTGCGCTCGCTCGCTACTAATCATTGTACGCCCCACAATACGATATTGGCGAGCTTCAGGAGATCCTCACGGTGAGTGCAGCTTGCAAGTGACAGAACACCATAATTCAGCTTTCGGCAACTTCTGGATGTGGGCCGAGATAAGTTGTGTCTGCCAGAAAACTCACACTCTTATTCAATACAATATATGCCACTAAAAATGCATGATTTTTTTTTTAACTCGGGCCTGAACGCGATGAAAGACTTGCAGACCTTGCTGCAGACTGGCAACTGCAGACAGTGGCGTACGCACATACAGGACATTCCGTGCATGCCCTGTCCCTTTGGCTCATCGTCCCCGGCGCCCTCAGTGACTGGCGCCCCTCTGTCCAGTGTTGGCGCTCCTCCAGTCGATAGCGGCGCGCTTCTAGTTGATGGCGAAGCCCCTCTGTCCAGTATTGGCGCTCCTCTGGTGATAGTGGCGCCCTCCTAGACGATATGGTGGGCCGGTGGCGCCCCTTTGTCCAGTATTGGCGCCCCTCCAATCGATAGCGTCGCGCTCCTAGATGATGGTGGGTGGCGCCCCTCTGTCCAGTATGTCAGTTATGTTCGTTCCGCACGTGTACGAACAAAACTGACACATTCAAGTTTCAGATATGTGGCGCCCTCCTTGTTGTTGGCGCCCTCCTTGATTGGCGCCCTCTCGTCCAATGCCCTGGTCCTTCGCAAATTCCTGGGTACGCCACTGACTGCAGATGCATGCCAGGTCCAGTACATGGGGCAGCATTTAGGTTAAAGTTGTCAGAAAGGAGTACGTTCTGCTTCTAGTTCTGGTCTGGCTTTGAATGTGCATTGTGCAAGTAGAGCTCAACCTCAGACTAACATTGCCCTCGCTTACCTATGCCTAAAAAAGGTGGCTTACTGGCAAGCGATAGAACTACTTATCACTTGGCATTGTGTGCATACAAAACTACAAATAAAAGCAACGAAAAGCGGTACGAAACTCACCTGGCAGCGGCACACCATGTCCATCTCGCTGGCCAGCTGGTCGACGATTTTCCCCTTGCCTTCGTCTCCCCACTGTGATCCCAGCACCACGGTGGCAGTGTTGCGGGGAGCAGAGCCATTTGTTGCCATGGTTACTGGTGTCTGTACCCTGTAAAAGAAATTGTTGCTTTTTTACTTTCGCATTGAATACCTACATGTGTAGTGTGATGTAGATTGTTTCCTTAACCCTCGCCCCGTTGGGGGGGGGCCATTTTGGCCCCCCCTGTGGTTTTTCCTGAATAGCAAGAAAACGGCGGCGCGCAGCGCCGCCAAATTTTCAGTACCTTCCCGGGCATCAATTTGACACCTTCACACCAAATTTCAAGTCTTAGGTCACCTTAGGTCAGGAGTTATTGAGGTCAAACTGAGGTCATGTTCGAGCAAAAATGAGCAAAAAACATGCAATCTTGAAACGCTCACCAAATCTACAGTTATCAAGCAATTTCAAAGTTCTTTATATGGTCTAGTAGACAAAAAGCGGCGCTACAAAACTGCTATCTCAGATTTTCAAAATTTTTGGTTTTTGACCACAAAAAAATCAAAAAATTGATTTTTTTAGAAAAACTTTGAAAAAATCCAAAAATTTTCCGAATTTCGAAAAAACCGGAATAAATGTGATAGTCCCAGCGCTCTTCTATATACATACCAAATTTCAGATTGATATCTCGTTTTTTGGCCAAGTTATAGCGAAAAAACTGTTCAAAAATGATGACGTCAAATTTTTGAACTCAATTTTTAGCAATTCTAGACCACGTACGGCAAAAATAAGACCACCATTGAACTCCCCGTGACGAGCTGCATCGATTCGATACCCATTTTATGCAAAAATATTAACTTTGAAATTTGACCTTATTTGACCTGACCTTGACCTGACCTGACCTTGACCAAAACGTGATCTAAGCTGGCCCCAAAGGCTGCCTGACCCATATAATCGCATTTGTCATGTAAAATGGACCATAAAACATGTATCACACGACACTTTCATATTGTGCCCCCCCGTGACCTGACCTCTGTGACCTGACCTGGTATCAGTGACCTCAAATAGCAAAATATGTGTTTGAAGAACATTTCCCCATCGATGATTTTCAATGAAATGCATTTTACTCGATTTTACAACGCATTTCTTGAATTGCCTGTAAACGGTGAAAATTGGACCTTTGACCTGACCTGTGACGTCATCGGTTTGACCTAGGTCAATAAAATTGGGTCACAAGGTAGTTCCCCGTTGGGGCTATCCAACGCCGTTTACCGCTTGTCGCTATGTTGCGTGGTTCTCGAGATCTTAGGGGGGGGGGGCAAAATGGCCCCCCCCCCAACCGGGCGCGTTGCTCGGCAGAGCCCAACGGGGCGCGGGTTAACCCTCGCCCGTTTTGGTGTTTTGCCAGCCGCGAACGTATAGGGGAGGGGGGGGGGCGGTGAACCCTTGCCGTTCGGCCTCTGATCGAGCTAGAGCTTCGCGAAAAAACGAGCGTGTTGCCCGTAACGAGGGAAAGCCGATGATACCCAATTTCAAGGTCCTAGGTCATTGGTTGACCTTCCAGGTCAGGTCAACGACCCAAAAGTCGGGAAAATCGGGACCTGTCAGAACTCGTTAAGTGAGGCTCTTATGACCCTGCCTGTCTCGTAGCTCAGTTGGTAGAGCCTTGGACTCCCGGTAGTGAGAGCCCAGCCCGGGTTCGAGTCGCTCCGGCGCTCGATATCTGAGACTCCTGGCGGGATGGTCTGCGGTTGGTGGAAGCAGCCTCAACCAGTTGAAGTCAGTTGAGTGGGACAGGTCGTGTCTGGCCTCGAAAGGCACGTTTAACTTATGCATCTAAATTATCCCATTACCTGGAATTGCGCGATCGTACAGACGAGGTCTACCCGACAAGCTCTGCTTAGCATGGGCTCCAGCTCAATCAGTCCATTCCAACATTCGAGGTAATATTTTTTATATCAAGAATAATAAAAACCTATCTAGCCTTATTGTACCTGACTTCCTACAACATTTCTTCATAGTGCAATTCTTCGGTCAGAGGAGCCCCTCTCAATTAGATCGCGGCCTTTCTGGTCGGTCGTCGACAGAGGGTCGTAGTCCACATAGAGATCTTATATACAATATTCATGTATGTATATGTTACAGGCAAAGTGAAAACACGGGCATTTTGCAAAATGCCTAGGCAATTTGCAAAAAACCTAACCCACCAGGCATTTTGCAAATTGCCTAGGCAGTTTGCAAACTGCCTGACCCACCAGGCATTTTGCAAACTGCCTGACCCACCAGGCATTTTGCAAACTGCCCAGGCATTTTACAAAATGCCTGACCCGCCAGGCATTTTGCAAAATGCCTGAGGTTCCATAATACATTTCACCCTTTTTGTTGACTGCAGGCGTTGACCATAAACGTTCCACTGTGCCAGAGCACAAACACATTCCACGGTCACGAATACAGGGTGTCACGAAATTGTTGCGGGATGTTGCACTAGTTAGTGTCCCGAAATTGATTGCATCGTAGTTGCGTCAGTGTTCTCCGGCACCTCCTCGCTGACAAGTTATCAGCAGTCACGTGGTCTGTCCGTGCGGCACCTGGTGAAGCTCAAAGAGGCCTCTGTAGCCCATCATGCCCCAATCGAGAATCCCCAGTGGTGGATGCTCCACCGTCTCGACGATGCAGCGCCTCTGAGATGCTGTTGGCCCAGAACTGGTTATCGAGACAGTTAGTGAGTTATAAGAGCTCTAATATCGCCTAATCACTGAAAAAGTCTGAATCTCTAGTCCTGAATGGTCCAGATTTGGTGGGCCCTGGCGAAATCCAGCTGCATCACTTCTGGATGACGGTAAGTCAGCGTTACAGCCTGAGGTTGAGCGGCCTCAGCTTCAGGGTAAGTCTTCAGATACCGAGTGATGACCGATTTAGATGCGGAGTGCCCTGGTCCAGATGCCCTGGTGCCGGACCCGTTAAAATTACATCCATTCAGCACTCAGGAGGGACATGGGAGGGACAACATAACCAGTAGCGGCGGAACACCTTCAATTAAGGGGGAACGCTGCCGACTTTTGGTCCCATTCTTTCCATGCAACGCTCATAGGGCTCGTGTTAACCCTCGCCCTGGCAGGGCATTTTTCATAACACGGCCTGGCAGCGATTGGCTCCTATGGCACCTAGAAACACCAAATTTGGTAGGTAGGTGGGCCCCCTGGAGTTCTCGCCCCTGTGCAAATTTGGTTGCTCTAGGTCAATATTTAGGGGGGTTTTGGGGGGTATAAATGTAAAAATTTCGCTAAAAACAGGTCAAAAGTTTTTCGCTTATAACTTTTTATCTAATTAAGATAGAGCAAAACGAAAAGCACCAGTGAACTCAGCACGTCAAGGCGCGTCGAATGATATACTTTTTAGCTTGCTTAAGTGTACTTAAAGTTTTTCTTAAATTTTAAGTAAACTTAAATTAATAACTTAAGTTCAAGTTAACCAAATTGCATCATATCGCATATCATTCGATTCGGCTGATCACCAGGAACACAATGATACCATTTTTAAGCTCTAGCGTCATTATGTGCCAAGTTATTGGCAAAAACGTCATTTGACCTCAGTTGACCTCATTTGACCTGACCCATGGATAAGTACACCAAACAAAGAAGCACCAAGTGACCTGCTGTTACGTACTGTGGTTTCAAAGCACAAAAGTGATAGAATGAAGCGGATATCTCCAGTATTTTCCGAATTTAGTATTTTCCCATAGGCTTAACATTACGACGTAATGACCTCTAACTGACCTCAGGTCAGTGACCTAAAAAAAACGAACTATATGTTATACAACTCGGTGAACTTAGCACATCCTGAAAGTTTGAAGGAAATCAGTCCAAAACTGTGAGTTGGACAGCTGCAAACAGAAAATTGAAATTTGACCATGACCTTGTACCGGTTTTTCTGACCTGGTGACCTGACCCAAGGTCACCCGGACCTGAAATTTTCAGGTCATATGTAAAAAGGTTGCCCCATAGGCTGTGCCAAATTTGGCGGCGCTGCGCGCCGCCGTTTTTACGCTATCTTCGAAAAACCTTAAGGGGGGTCGCATCGAACCCCCCTGCCAGGGCGAGGGTTAAAATGCCAAAATCAAGGGGGACAAGGCGCCCCGGTGCCCCCCCCCGTTCCGGTTCGGCCACCTATGAACATAATAGACCGTGCCAACCGCGCATCAATTTCGTGACACTCTGTATACCTACGTCTTGCGTCAATTCCGTCGAGATGGAGCCACCACTGAATGGATTTGAGCCACCGTCTCCGTACTTTTCGTATATATGGAGTTGTAGCCCTGTGTGTATAAAAGCTACGATGTCTACATAGTATTCTGCCCTAATTGGCTACTGTCCCGGCAGAGACGATTGATAATGTAAACTTGCAACAATCAAATGTTCGCAAATTATAAGAGTATTCTTTTCTGATCAATATCCAGTATCCACCCATAGTATTTTCAAAAAGCCACCAAGGGCTTTTAGAAACAGTGCAAATCATTGTACCGAGCGCCAGTTTACCAACGAAACCACGCCCGGTGCTCGGCACCCGACGGCCGCTGAGGCTCCAGCGGCACTACCCGGAGAACGCAGTGTCCTCTCACTTGGTGCGCATGGACAGCGATTATCTTTTGTAAGCGGCAGTTACTAATGATGCTTACCTATACATCGTCGCTGGTGTTAGTTTGATGTCAGGCATTTTGCAAAATGCCTGGAAAAATAATTTCAGGCAGTTTGCAAAATGCCTGGTGGGTCAGGCAGTTTGCAAACTGCCTAGGCATTTTGCAAAATGCCTGGCCGGTCAGGCATTTTGCAAATTGCCTAGGCATTTTGCAAATTGCCTAGGCATTTTGCAAAATGCCCGAGTTTTCACTTTGCCTGTAACATATATGTTGCAGGCACTTTAGAAAATCAGTCATTTTGTAAAATGCCTAGGCATTTTGCAAAATGCCTGATTTTCCAGGCTTTTTGCAAAAAGCCTAGGCATTTTACAAAATGACTGACTCTCCAGTCATTTTGCAAAATGCCTAGGCATTTTACAAAATACCTAGCCATTTTACAAAATGACTTAGCAGCGTGTTGTAGATACGAGTACCTAATTATATACGTTTTGGTAGCGTGTAGGTGGACCGAGGAGTCCAGAGGGGTGTTCACGGGCACCGCACACTGCTGCGTGCGGTGTGTGCGGTGCGTCCAGCAGGCGTGGGGGTAGGGGATGGGTAGGCGGCTCTGACGTCACGGCTGCGTGCGGTGGACGGTCCGCTGTGGCCAGTCCCGACCGGCCACAGCGATCGCTGTGTGCGGTGACGGAAGGCTGACGTAGGGACGCAGTGGGCGGAGCTTGGAGGCTGTGTTTGGTCCGACCGCACACAGGGCCCGTGAACAGCCCTCAGCATTATGACCAGAGGAGTCCAGCAGTGGGAAGTCCATACCTACCTCATAATATGGCAGCTAGAAGCCTGATAAGGGTAAGATGTCGCCGGCTGAACATTTCTTAGTCTTCTCACAAAATTTGACGCGAATCGAATATAATCAGCGGTAAGGAGCGCGATGTAAAGACGGAACCGTCCCGCCCCGGCACAGTCTACAATTCAGGCGGCGCGTAACGGTTAGCGCCGGCCGCCGCGCCGCCGCGGCTGCAGGATGTTTGACCTTACATCGCTATTACAAGAAAAGTTGTGACCCGATTTTCTTATTTCTTGCACGAGAAAATCCACAGTTCAATTCTGGGCAGGTAGCCAAAATTTCACATTAATATCATGCTTGCGGCGCGAGTTATTGGCGAAAAACAGGAGTGGTGGGCGGAATCCGCCCCCCCCCTTCCACTGCGCGTGTTAAAATGTGAGGATGAGAGAGAAGGAGTGGGAAATTATAATCAAATTCGAACGTGTTTTTAATGTCCAAATACATAATGCAGTTTTGTCCGTAAGGGCACAATCAAACAAAGACTACACTCATTCGTTTACATGTAATTATACATCAACCGGGCCTGCCTACTGACTAGGGCCGGTCTCCGGCTGGTTTTGTTAGGTCTAGTTTCAGGCAGAACATGAACGGCGTTGATGTACTTGGGAGTTTTTACAGCGTTAACTAAACAATGCTTTATGCTACAGCCGAGTCTGCAACTCAACCTGGTCGTTACTCAGCATTGTCGTCATCATAGAGCTTCACATCGATCAGCTACAGGCTGAACACGTACCTATAGGGTATAGGAAGACGTCCAAAAACTGTTAGCCATAGTATCTGTAGTGGGATCTACGTTCCATGCTGGTCAGGCATTTTGCAAAATGCCTAGTCATTTTGTAAAATGGCTAGCCATTTTGAAAAAAGCCTGGTTGCGTTCAGTCATTTTTCAAACAGCCGTCTTTTTGTAAAATGCCTAGGCATTTTACAAAATGACTGATTTTCTAAAGTGCCTGCAACATATATAAGATCTCTATGGTAGTCCAGGGAAGTAAGTCCCCTTGGGCACCGGTGACGAGCGGAATTCCCGAAGGATCGGTCCTTGGACCTGTTTATTCACTATCTTCGTCAACGACCTGCCCTTGGAAGTGTCTGGCTCAGTCAAGCTCTTCGCAGACGACACTAAGCTTTATCGACAAGTGCCCGGAACCGGCACAAGCCTCCAAAGCGACATCGACGCACTCGTCCGGTAGTCCGAAAAATGGCTTCTTCCATACAATGCCCAGAAATGTAAAGCAATGAATATCGGCCTGTGAAACCCGGACCTGACGTACACCCTGAGTCATGAGTGGCATTCCCATACAAGAGACAGAGGAGGAGAAAGACCTTGGCATCTTTATAGACTGCCAGCTCAACTTCCACAAGCAGACTGCCACAGCCATCGTGAAGTTTTCCCATATACTGGCCGTTGTGAGGCGCTCATTCGCTAACATCGATGAGTTTACACTGCCACTGTTGTACAAGACGATGGTTCGCCCCCTCCTGGAATACGGAAACATTATCTGGGGTCCCTTCGGAAAGGTCGACCAGAAGAAGCTGGAACGCGTGCAACGGCGTGCCACAAAGATGGTCACCGCGATCAGGCACCTCCTGTACACTGAACGGCTCCGTCGGTTTGGATTGCCATCCCTGTACTACCGGAGACATAGAGGTGACATGGTGAAGGTGTACCTACCAGCTGTTCCACGGCGGTTTGGCTATTCCACCTGAAGTCTCCCTGACGCGGAGTGACTCGGGTCGTACCAGAGGCCACAAGTGGGAATTAAGAAGCCCAGGGCCCTGAAACTAGTGCGCAGAAACTCATTCAGCAATAGAGTCATCAACGATTGGAACTTGTTGCCGAACGCAGTGGTGGCGGCCCAGTCTGCAAACCAGTTCAAGGCTCACCTGGATAAACACTGGGGTGACTCGATGTTCGACATCCAAACCACCTAAGAGCCCAGCCCAGACTGGAAAACATCCATACACTACGCCGGACGCCCCCGAGACCCTCTTGTGCCGAAATTTGGCGCAAGCGATTTTGCGCTGAAATTTCTGCGTGATTTGCACCAAAAATGTGGTCCCCATTATGTGAAAATTAAGCCCTTTTTATGTAGGTAACGCACATGTGCACATCTATCTACTGATCAAATATCAACCAGTCAGGGTGTTCCGGGGTCTTGTACACTCTCCCATGTTTGAGCGTCCGAATGAGTTTTTTTCCACGGAAACCCAATGCCTCAAAACTCTAAGCACACTCTAGTTTTCATGCCGTGAAACAAAGCCGGAGTCGTGCGTTCCGGGACCACAAATATCGGCGGAGCAGTGTGCTCGAGGCTGGCGGGAGCCAGCGAGGGCCGGGCAACGGAGCATCACGTGCTCCGGCACAACAGCCTCTTCTCGGCTCACGGTGCAGAGCGCCACTGGGCACCGCTTTTCAGGGCACTGCTGGCACGCCGCGGAGTGGAGACAGCCGATTCGGTGCCGTACTGGAGCGAGCGGCCCCGGTGGCCCACCCTCATCTGGTGCAACGAAACAGCATTCTCTTGGTCCTCTCCGGGTATAGGGAGCGGCGGCGTACTCCTGAGGAGTGGCTTGAATAGTGATTCTGAGCAGTTGTCGCGCCATTGATGCGAGGCCGCCGCACAATGAACCGCCCTGGTCAGCGAGCGGGCGTTTGAGGGCAGGGCGGCCGCCTGTTTTGCCAGGTCATCCACGCTCTCATTCCCCTTGATACCACAGTGGGCAGGAACCCACTGCAGTATTGCTTAACGACGCTTGGCGATGTTCAACAAGTTCTTCCATACCTACCTCCACGCCAAGGGTTGAAGCCTCACCTGGGCGGCAGCTCCTCCGCTGAGTAGGTACCTACTAGACTCAGGGCGGCTCGCCAGTTCGAGCACGCGACGACCGGGGCGGGGACGTCTCGTCCAGAAACCTCTCCAGAGCCGCCCGCAGGGTGAATCTGCTGCCCAGCGTAACGCATAAATTTGGTGACCGTCTTTCGCCAAAAAATTATGCGTCCGCCCTGCGCTGAAAAATTCGTCCACCGCCATGCGCTGAATTTGGTGCATGTGAAGTTACGCCGGACGTGCGCAGAAATTTTCGGCGCAATCCCGCCACTACGCCAGACATATTCGGCATAACGTGTATTTTTTCCAGTCAGGAGCCCAGCCTCAAGCCTGTATATCCTGTCACGAGCTCCATGTGGGCGGGATCCCCAGGCCCAGTGGCCTTTTAAATCCGATTACCGCAAAGGTAAGTTATTTGGTCCCATTCTTTCCATGCAACGCCCATAGGGCTAATGCTAAAATGCCAAAATCAAATGCAAAGGGGGGCACGGTGCCGGTGCCCCCCTCGCTCCGCCGCCTATGGGAGACGGAACTCTTCTCTATGAAGGATATGTTAAACACTGACACCCCTCTGTTCTCTCACCTTACATCAAGGCCCTCTAACTTCACCACGCGCCGCACGCGCTCCTCGCACCCGTTCCCTGCGATATCGCCTTGCCCCAAGGCCGTATAAGTTCCTTGCCCTGCGTGCTAGCGTGCTACTCCACCGTCCACTCTACGCAACAACACACACACGGGCAACAAGGCAATCACCCAGCACACCACAACGCACGTTCAAGCAAACGCAGCAAACGGAATGACCATAGCCATAGACGATCAATATTAAACATTTCACTTTGTTTTTATTACATCATCAAGGTGACCCAATCAAAAGAAGCTCTGTAATGAAAGTGCAACACCCTTCTTTACTTCAAAAAGATACTTACTGTATGTTATCGTATTTTTCGTCTGAACAACATCTTTTCATTTTTCATTCACTTAATCTTTTATTTCTCATGCTTCATATTTTTTATCTATCCTTCATTTTTATTTAACGGTTTCTCTTTCTTTGTACGTCACTTAATTCTCACAAATTTTCAAAAAGGAATAAGTTAGAATTTTTACAAAAACGGCGCATGAATGACAAAATGCTAACTTACCCCGCGTTCGATGTCTCTCCGACGACGAAGATTCTACGTCGTCCGGCCAATCCCGTCCAAGGTCAGTGGGGGCTCGGCTGCGGTTATGGAACGTGATTGGGCGGACGGCGTAGAATCTTCGTCGTCCGAGAGACATCGAACGCGGGGTTAGACTCTGCGTTGAACTTTTGTCAGGTTTTTGTGATATTCTTTATTATATCTTATAAAGGTATACCGTGGTAAACAATATACAGATAGATATAAAAAACTATACACATTTAAAAAAGAAGATATCTTCCTGTAAGAAGCGTTTTTCTGGACACTTGCCACAGTAGTGCCCATCTTCAAAAAGGGAGACAGAAGACGACCAGAGAATTACCGTCCAATCAGCCTGACTGTGGTGACGTGCAAGGTCATGGAGTCGTTAGTAAGGGACCAACTGATGGAATACCTCACCTCGAACGGACTGTTGTCGCGTCACCAGCATGGTTTTCGCCCACACCGATCCTGCACGACTCAGCTGCTGGAAGTCCTAGATGACTGGAGCCGTGCGATTGAAGATGGGAGCCCTGTTGACGTCATATATCTGGACTTCCGAAAGGCTTTTGACTCCGTCCCTCACGAACGCCTACTCGCTAAGCTGAGAGCATGTGGTGTGACTGGACTCCTCCTAGAGTGGATCAGATCTTTTTTGTCCAACCGACAACAACGAGTCGTACAAGGCCGTCACTCCACCTGGTCTCCTGTCACCAGCGGGGTGCCACAGGGCTCTGTATTAGGCCCCTTCTGTTCCTCGTGTATATTAACGACATTCCTGACAAGGTGAGGTCCTGCATCAAGATTTTTGCTGATGACACAAAACTGTACCTACCGCAGCATTGACACTGCCAGTGATGCATCCCTGCTCCAGCTCGACATCGATGCCCTCACCACATGGTCCGAGCAGTGGCAGCTTGCGTTCAACCAGAACAAGTGCGCGTCTTTGAATGTTGGGGCCAGAAACTCAGGTCACTCCTATACCATCAACGGTGTCAGCCTTGCCTTTACCTCAGCCGAGAGAGATCTGGGTGTCCTCATCGACCCGGAGCTGAAGTTCAGGAGGCAGGCTTCCTCAGCTGTGTCGAAGGCCTCACGGATCCTATCCCTGATCCGGAGGTCGTTCTCGAACCTCGACGAGATCACCCTGCCGATTTTGTTCAAGTCATTCGTCAGGCCACATCTTGAATACGGCAACCTCATATGGGGCCCCTTCAATCGAGCAGACATCAAGCGTGTGGAGCGAGTCCAACGGCACGCTACCCGACTAGTGCCCGGCATCAGGAGCAAGCCATGTACCGAGAGATTGAAGTGCCTGAAGCTTCCTTCGCTGCTCCATCGACGACGTCGCGGCGACATGATTGGAATGTACCAGCTGCTGCATAACGAGATCGATATCGACTCGGACAAGTTCGTCAAGCATGCGTCCGCGAGGTCCAACCGTGGCCATCCCTGGAAGCTGTACAAACCACATGCCAAGTCAAGAGCCAGAAGACAACTCTTCACTGTTCGAGCGATCAATGACTGGAACTCCCTCCCTGCATCTGTTGTCCAGGCCCCATCCCTCAACGCCTTCAAATCCAGACTCGACAAGCACTGGGCCAATCTGATGTATCAGATGCCTACCCATGAGGACTAGAGATGATCACCAGTCACGAGCTCGACGAGAGCGGGACCTACAGGCGAGTGCCTTTCAAAATTCCCGATAGTGTTAGGTAAGGTAAGGTAAGGTAAGTTTTTTTTTCGTCGTCGCTCGTGTATGTTTTGTTTTTTCAGATTTTCTTTGTCTTCTGGACAAAACTGAAATAGAAGAACAATTTTCATTTCCATAGGAGGCTTTAGCATTTATATAAATGCATTTATAGCATTTATATAGCATTTATATAAATGCCTAAGGCTAAATAGAGTTGCAGCATATATATACGCTGCAACTCTATTGGGCATTAGTAGAGCTGACGTCATATAAGGTTTTCCTACCAAGGAGAGCCGAGAGGTGCTGTAGGTTTGTAGGTTGGGGTTTGTAGAGACTGGTAACAAAGCTGGTCCCCGGTCGCGCGTCACCCGCCTCGCCCAATTCCAATCTGATTCCAAGCCCTGAAGCTACCTTCGCTTTACCATGGTCGCCAAAAAAGGCACATTATAGCGGTATTTCAGCTCCTGTGTAACAGTCTTGACCTGAACCCAAGTATAGTGTTTTTACGCTGCGCCCTGCGCTCTTCCGGACGTCAGGCGACATGTTCCATCTTCGAAACAGTGGTGAAACAGCGTGCAGCCTTGGTGCAGCCCTCCAACGATCGGTGAAACATTTTTTTCAGTCGGAGTTGTGATTTTTAATGACTGGATCAGTCTTCTATTCAAATTCGACAATCCGGAGATGGTGCGACCATCTGTTCGACGAATATTGCCGACACGGATGCATTTCGTTTTGCACACGGACCGTTGGAAAGATATGTAGGAAGACGGTTAGAAATACATGTAAGAATGGTCGTCTGAAACTAGGATCCAGATTCGACTGAATGTCAGGATCCGTTTCCGTTTCTGTCCTCCCAAGGTCTCTCTCACCTCTTCCCACCACTCTTATCACATACCTATCGTCCTTCCGGTGCTGGATTTATCAGCAGTGCATGTCTCACATCAGTGATTCAGGAATCGTGTCTCAGGATTCCTTCGCCACATCACATTCGCGGAACGTTATCATGTGATATCGGCGACGACACTTTTGTCGCTTGATGAGTGGATCAGCTACAGTTCTTGTCCTTGGAGTACTGGCTTTTGGCTGCTAACACTTTGTTTTACGTCTTTCTCCTGAATTGTATCAAACTTTTTGACTATTTTCTCGGTTGACGTATGCTTGATAAAATATTTTGACATTGTATTGTTAAAAATATGCCATTGGCGGTTGCACTCCAGTCTCCATAATCACTGCATTGGGTCAGGTCAATGCAGTTTGCATCATTGAAAATCGTAGACGTTGCAGGTGTTGGAATCGCAAGTGTTTGGTACTAGCTCGGTGTTTTCGACAAAATCCGGCTACTCGAGCGGAGCGGGTGTTATCGGTTCTGGGAGGCTCCCACGCCGCTCGGCAACCGCCAGTCACCGGGGCACAGTGTCGGCGCGGCTGATAGCCGGGCGGGCTCAGGTGAGACGCCGCCAGCCGCTCAGGTGGGCCGGACGCGCCTAGGGCGGAGGGAGTGTCGATAGCATACAGCGGCAGTTACAGGGACGCAGTGCCGGCGGTCGGCGGTGACGGCAGCTGGAGGAGGAGTGTCGGCGGTCTGCTAAGTGGAGTGGGGTCTCTGCCCGGGTCCGAGCGGACGATGAAGGCAGCTCGCGCGTCCAGGCGGCCGGCGCGGCCGCGCAGCACCTCCGACCCCGGCGACGTGGCGTCCGTGCTCCGCTGGAGAGGTGGGTTCGGCGGCCACAGGCGACTCGACTCTGGCGGCGGCTTCAGCCGGGACGATTTCGCTCTTTGTTGTAACTCTCGTTCAAGAATGTCCGATACGCCTGTGAATGTGTCCGCAGATCCATCGAACGCGCTTCGCTACACTCGGGTGCTCAGCACGTCGGACTTCTGAAAGCAGTGTCGCGTCTTATAAAACTCGTAATCGCCCTCCAATGTCTACGTCGTATATGCTTGCCTATTCCGCAACTTCGTAGCAATAATACATCCATATCCCCTTCTCCGCCTCTCCGCATTCTCGGTCCTACACTTCTTGATAAATATGTAGCGTGCGAAACCTTGCATCATGTGAGTTCACCAGCCACATGTTTGGTCGACTGTCGAGATAGACGTTTTTCAAAATGTGAATTTTACTGGAGCCTACCATCAACGAATGCTGGATCTATAAGATACATTTCCACCGATCTGTAGATAATTAGATTCTAATAGGATCATTATTTCAAGAAGGCGTTTACTTCTGATCCGTTCCGCTTGGCCTGTATGCTGAGAATGACATATCGTATTGATTGCACTGATACCTACACTTCTATCAACCGTAATGGCTTGCACAAAGGAGCCATTGACTCCACCTTTTTTCCGGAAGGCGATGGCATTTCACTGAAGATAAAGCGTTATTTGTGTTACTCACGGCTTCAGATTGACTCATTTTGTTTGATTGCTTATCAATATAGCAAGAGGACAAGACCAAACTAGTTGCCTACTGATGAAGCATTAGGCCAAAACACATTTATAAGGGGACTTACTTATTGCAGCCACAAAGTGACTAAAGTCCTGACCATGCATTGTGAAAATGTTGGAAATTGCGCATTATGTTTGAAATGAAAGTCGATGAAAGAATCGTTCAACTATAAATCATTTGACATCTTCATCACACAAGGTTACCTGTCATCGTATAACGGTATCCTGATCACGCCAAGGAAGCCCTGTTGACGCTGCACCGAATGGGACCCGCTGTAATAATCATATGTCCAAAACCCAAGCACGTCCGCTGACCGCCTCCTGGCGTCTCCCGCTCGCCCTGCTGATGTCCACTCGCTCTGTTCGCAGACGCCGTGCCGAAGCTGGTGCCGAAGATATTCCGCAGCACCTCCACGATGGCCGACGACGAGCTGCCGCCGGCGCCGCCCGTCCGCATGGCCAGCGTGCGGTTCGGGGCCGAGGCCGGCGGACTGCCGCTGCCCCCGCTGCCGCGCGAGCCGGACGCCGAGCGGCGGCGGCGCGCCCGGCTGGCCAAGCCGACCAAACGGCACACGGACAAGCCGGAGATCTCGTACCCGACCAACTTTGAGCACGCCGTGCACGTGGGCTTCGACCCGGCGACGGGTGAGTTCAGCGGTATGCCGCCGCAGTGGGTGTCCCTGCTCGCCTCCGCCAACATCTCCATCCAGGAGCAGCGCCAACACCCGGACGAGCTGATCAACGTGCTTAACTATTACGACGCCAGTAACAAGGACGGCGACCAGACCAAGTTCATGGTGCCTACCACGGAGCACAACCCGCTGTGGGAGCAGGAGCGCGACCCGCCGCGTGCCAGTCTGGCCGTCGGGCCGGCGGATGCGCGCACCGACGGCGCCCGCTCCGGCTCGGACCACTCCGGCTCGACCAGCACTCCGGACACCGCCGACCCGGACCCGGAGTCGGAGCGCGACAAGTTCCCGGAGGAGCCGGAGCCGGAGGAGGAGGAGGAGCCGGCACCCCCGCCTCCTCCGGTAGCCGCCCGCCCGGAGAGGACCAAGTCGGTGTACACGCAGCCGCTGGCTCCCGAGGAGCCGGCGGCGGCGGCCGGCTCGCCAGTCACCAACGGAAAGCCGGCAGCTCCGGCCAAGGGCGCGGCGCCGACACCGGCGGCGCGCGACACGCCGCGGAGGCCCAAACTGAGCGACGAGGAGATCCTGGCGCGTCTGCGGAGCATCGTCACCATCGGCGACCCGCTACGCCGCTACACCAAGATGGAGAAGATCGGGCAGGGCGCGTCCGGCGTGGTGCACACAGCCGTCGAGACGGCCACCGGCTGCGAGGTGGCTATCAAACAGATGAACCTCCCGCAGCAGCCCAAGAAGGAGCTCATCATCAACGAGATCGTCGTCATGCGCGAGAACAAGCACCCGAACGTGGTGAACTACGTGGACAGTTACTTGGTGGGCGAGGAGCTGTGGGTGGTGATGGAGTACCTGCCTGGAGGTTCGCTGACCGATGTGGTGACCGAAACGTGCATGGACGAGGGCCACATCGCAGCCGTGTGCCGCGAGGTGCTGCAGGCTCTGCAGTTCCTGCACATGAACCACGTGATCCACCGGGACATCAAGTCGGACAACATTCTGCTGGGCACGGACGGCGCCGTCAAGATCACCGACTTCGGGTTCTGCGCGCAGATCTCGCCGGAGCAGAGCAAACGGACCACGATGGTGGGCACGCCCTACTGGATGGCCCCCGAGGTGGTCACCCGCAAACAGTACGGACCCAAGGTCGACGTCTGGTCGCTAGGCATCATGGCCATCGAGATGCTGGAGGGCGAGCCGCCCTACCTCAACGAGAACCCGCTGAAGGCGCTCTACCTGATCGCCACCAATGGCCGGCCCGAGATCAAGGACCGCGACAAGCTGTCGCCGCAGTTCCAGGAGTTCCTCGACCTGTGCCTGGAGGTAGACGTGGAGCGGCGCCCGTCGGCGGCCGAGCTGCTGCGCCACCCGTTCCTGAAGGCCAGCCGGCCCCTGACCAGTCTCTGCCCGCTCATCGAGGCCGCCAAAGACGCCGTGCGAGAGCAAAACAGTGCCTTGAAGCTGGCCAAGGCGGTCTAGGAGACTGCGACGTGGTGGATCCAATGGGAGAGTCGCCGCTGATCGAGATGAACGAGCTGAAAACAGGCGACGCACGCCACAGTCGGAGTCTCGAATAACGAGGGGCGCCCACACTTCAAGGTCAATGGCGGTGGCTCGTGGGGGACGCCAAAGTCCGTCATTCGTTACACACACTCAGCCAATTATGTGCCAGAAAATGCGATGCATCTTAGAGATGTCGCCCAGCGTACGAAGCTGGCCAGCGGGCTGTGGCAGGCTCCGGTACGCCACTAGCGGTGCACCGATCAACGAGCTTGCGTCGCCTTTAGTTGGTAGGTGGCGCCACTGCCATGCTTGGTCCACTCGTGCAGAGTCGGATCAGCTTCCGAGCGTGCTTCGGCGCACGGTCCGCATACGTAATGACGAGCCAATGGCGATTAGATCCGTGCTATCATGCTCATTAGTCAATTGCTGTGAATTTTTGTATGGCGTCTGTTGTAATATTGGCAGCTGATCGTTTTATGCAGTCGGTTTGTTTGTCAGTTCTATTGAAATCCGTCCCACAGAAGCGTTTACCATGGCTCATCGCCTAGTGTTATTTGCTATGGCCGCTGTAGGACCTCTGGGACTTAATGGTATGCTCTTGATTATGCTTTTGTTATTTATTATCGGCTGTGCAAGTTTCAGCTATATTCCTTATTCATGTGACGTGCGTATTTAAAACCATTTAATATATCGACATTCTGATGCAGGTTTATAGCAGCTATCGCGAGCAAGTTTCAAGCCTGAAATGTTGGCATGCACTCATCGAACTGCCTATATCAGGATGAGGATATTTTTTTCTGCCCTCCTCCGTACTCTAGTCTCAAATAATACCTCCCAGACTAATAACGAACATAGATAGGTACCGAATGCCTCGCCAGTCCAAGCTGTGTCTTCATCAGAATCAGGCACAGCAAGCATAATCCTACTGGGAAATGTTTCACAACTATGACTCTACGCACATTTAGACAATTCTTTAGTCTTGTCAGTAATAGTAAATGTATTTGATATAAGCTCTGGGGATGAGGGGAAAACAAACATCACCAGCAAACATATGACATCGTTTCCTGCAATAAGGCATAAAGTAACAGGATCACAGCACAATAGCATTAACAATATCTAAATCGTTATTCCATTCAAAACGATGGGCACCGATGCAATAATATCGACCACCTAAAACTGAACTGTTACAAGCAAAAACAAAGGAGGAAAGTATTACAAACAACTGCCATGTATATTTCATCTGCACATCAGATCTACGTAAAATTCATTCTCGGATAATTGGCTATGAGTACGCGCCTTGGCACCCGTTAAGAATGACTATGTAACAGCCGATGGGGTAGACCCTGAAAGGCTGCCGCGAGAGAAATAGGTGCAGCGGCGAATAAAGGTACAGTTCAACTTTCAAGAGCATAGACATTTCATTCCATCCCCGCTATAACGATAAACAAAATCCATTTCAACAATGGAACATCATTCAAGATAAAACGAAAATTCCGACGCTGCAGGACAGCAAGTTATCGCCTCTGCCCATCACTTTGGGATTCTCTAATAAATATAACAAGTAGTTACGTTCATCACACACTGCTTCTCAGCAGCGGCAGGACACAATGCTTAAAATATTAAAGCAATACGTATGCGCATGTCGCCATTTCAGCAGCCACTCATTGATCTGTCGTTCAGTAATTGCACTAGCAAATCGTATTAAAGCTATCACGTGCGCGGCGGGCGGTCACAGCTGGGGTGCCGGCGCCCCTGGGCCCGGGGTCACACCCTGGGCGGACGCAGGGAGGCCGTATCGGTCAGCCGCAGAGGGCCGTCAGTCCGCGGCAGCCGACTCGGAAAGCCCGGGTACAGCACCAGCGTCACCGTCCGCTCCCGAGCTAGCTGTCCGGCCAGCGCGTGCACCACGGCCCGCACCCGGCTCAGCCGGTCGTACAGCGTGAGTCGGCGCAGCTTGGCGCAGCGCAGAACCAGGCTCTGCACCGCCTCGGCGCCCACCTGTTTCGGGAATGTCTCCGAGCAGCCCAGCTCGAGTTCGGCCAGTGGCTGCTCTCCCAGGCAGTCGAGCACGCCGCTCGAGACGCACGGCACGCCGGCCAGGTGGAGTGCGCGCAGCTGCGGCAGCTCGCGCACACAGCGCAGCCCCTCCTCGCTCACCAGCCGGCAGAAGTTGATGTTGAGCGTGTACAGGCCCGGCAGCAGCGCCGGCAGGCGCCGCAGCGTGGTGTCGGTCAGAGCCTCTGCGCGGCGCAGGTTCAGGTGCCGCAGCGCCGGCAGACCGGTGACCGGCAGGCAGCCCTCGGGCGGCAGCACCAGCCCGGCGGCCGAGAGACGCTCCAGGCGGGTGCAGCTGGCCAGACCGGCGGCCAGGTCCTCCGCCGTCACACTTGTCACGTCGGAGATGTCGAGCTCGCGCAGCGAGGCCGGCGCCGCCTCCAGGAGCGTCGCCAGTCGCGAGTTGCTGCGGTACCAGTACGTTCCTGCCAGCACCAGCCGCTGCAGTTGCACGCAGCCGGTCAGCACCAGCTTCAGGTGCGACGTGAACTGGATGGTGCTGAACGACAGATCGAGCTCGCGCAGGTTGGGGCACTGCGCCACGTGTTTTATGTAGCCCGGCTCTCGCTCGCGCCAGTGGTGCAGTGTCAGCCGCTGCACCGAGGCGGGCAGCGTGGCCAGCCACTCACACTTGCCTGCCGGACTGCAGATGGTGAGCGAGCGCAGCCGCCGCTGGTTCAGCACCATCACCTTGACGCATTCATCGCTGCAGTTGTTGTTCATGGTAACCACCTCTAAACGCGGACAGCGCAGACAGAGCCGCTGCAGCGTGGGCTCCGAGACGCGGAAAGCCTTCAGGTTGAGTTCACTCAGCAGCGGACAGTGGTGGGCCACGATGTGCAGGTCGAGCTTGTTGATTTGTACGTACAGCGAGTCATGTTCGTAGATTTCGATGTCGATGACGCGGAGGGCGGACATCCGAGGTAGCAGCAGCTCGAGACACCGGTCGGTGAGTGCGTGGGGCCAGTGCATGGTAAAGTCGCGAAGACGGGACAAACACGTGTCGAAGGCGTCTCGCCAGCGCCGTGACACATGTTCCACGGCGAGCAATTGACGTAGGCTGAGAAACGATAGGATGTGTAACAGTATTTCTGTTGGTAGGTCGTCTACGTGTCTCATCCTTTTGGCGATATCGCTGTCGAGTCGAGCCAAGGGTATATTTGGAGATTCTTCACTTGTCATGTCTGCTCATTTTCACGTTCATCCAGTCTGCAACAGTACCAAGCAAACAGTCAAGACTGGAGTTTAGGTACTACTCACTTTGCAAGTTTTTTTTTTGCAAGGAAAGGGCATAAAGGAAAAGAATTATTAGAAAATATAGAAAATGCTGAGCAGCGATAAAACTTTGAAAATAAAATTGAAGGATTAGATGAAGGCACCAGCCACCAAACAACATTCACATCATGGGTAACTAGCGATACTAGCAAAGTCACTTTGTGTTACAGTAATGTCATTTGACATTTACCTAACACGCACCACACCACATTCCTGGCAATCAACTTCCTGGAAATCAACTTCAAAGTTTCACCTCAGTTGACCTGACCTTGACCTGACCTCAACCTGAGGCTGAGACTCATCCAAATGTGTTCCATGTCACTGTGCCTGTTGAGTTTTAGGAATAAAATGGCCTATAAACATGCATCAAACTTGTCCTATTCTATATTTCGCTTTTGGTGACCTGACTTGACCTTGACATTGACCTTTGCATGACATTTTATGCAACAAATCTTGCCTTGGCAGCCTAAGTACATGTTTCAGATAATTTCAGACAATCTCAGTCCATTCTCTGCCAGCTGCGCTCCAAAGTTGATACTGTAGGAACTTGACGAGACCTTGACCTGGCCTCTGGGTTCCATCGACCTACTAAGGCAAAAATGTTTGCCCTAATGATCCATATTGTTGAGAGCTTTTGATTACCGCTTTTTCCATCCTTCTACGACCACCGTGTCATGGTTCTTCCGTGTTCTTCATGCCTGCATGTCAGCATACTCATTGCATATGGATATGTGCATGTGTGTGTGCCCGTCTATCCGTGCGCTCTATGTCCGTGCTTGTGTACGCTCGTCTTCCCGCGCGCTCTGCATACTGCATATCTAGCCGAGGGCTTAATGCTGCTAGTCCACATTTCGCTGCCGTCTGATCCCGCATGCCCGCGCGCATGACTTTGTCCTGACGGATGATTCGTTTGCAGGTGCATGCTACTCGCTTCTTCTCGACAATACACTTGGCCATACCACATCCATCTATTAACCCTGCAAAGAGGGGAGAGGCTTTAAGGGACGTCACAACCGGTTCAGAACAATACCTACCTAGGTACGCCACATGCAATTCGGGTATTTATTTACTTTAGGACCGGCAGCCTTTACTTTCGTTGCGAATTCCGATTAAGTGATATTAAGAATTGCACCCCATGGCCCATTGCAATTGCAGAAATACAAATTCTGCACAGCAAACAGAAAAAATAAAACAATAAATTGAAACGCTCCATCCCATACCTCTTCGAGTCTGTGCGTCCTGTGCGTGTTGTAACCGTTGTAACGTACGGGCCAGTACGTACGGGCAACGTACGGGCATACGCGGTTGTTGTTACTTGAGAAGAAATGCTGTTCGCTAGATCACGACCTAGACCTGTTGAAGCTGCCTTGAAGCCGAGTTGCCATGACAGCGCCTTATTAGCCAATGAGCTGCACAGATCAAGCGACATTTTCCTGAGCATATTACGCTTCCGGTCGTTCACCGTGAAGAGAGAACATGACTCAATGCAAAGAATATATAACAGGCTATGCCTCAGCTGCGCTAGTTTTGTAAGCAACTCTGCTTACGGTTTGAGCAAAGGCTGTCAGACAAATTTGTTGGAAACACATTTGTACATAAGATAAAAGATGACTGTGTTTTAAAAAAATAGGAAGCTTATTAGCATTTTCTTTTAATCAGTAGATTTTATTTATTTTATTTATATGTACATTCTGTACAACAATGCTCAATCTTATTATATACGGAAGTTTCAGCCCTAGTACCCCGAAGGCTGTGCCACGGCGTATATAAGTGATCGTCTTGTGGCGAGTTCCGTGCGGGTTCCGGGATTTACATTCCGGGTGGCCGTCGCCATTTTGTTCCCGCGATCATGTCTCATGTGCATTGCCATTCGCATGCTATTGTGGTAAGAAAATAATGTAATATATGTTATTTCAGTGAATGGTTTGCCATATGTCAAATTAAGCTATGTAAAGGACGTCCAAACCCTTTCATTGGTGCGAGCGCGTGGCATGCCATGGCTAGGCTATTATGAGGTGTAGTGAAATAAAGTGTTTCTTGAACCTGTGATCATAATTAGCTATTGGTAATAAAGGATATTTATTATTCAGGAAAGAGTGATAAAAATGGCCCCTGACCTCAGCTGCGTGGAAAGCTCGAGTTCACACTAATGAGTGTAGATAGTTACGCGTTCCAATAAAACTTGTTGATGAATTTGAGGGGCAGTGATAATAGGTACCACTGCTTCTCAAAGAGTGTGGAAATATTTTTCGTTTATATATTGAGTCATTTTTTATGCATGATCTTGAGGGAAGAAAACAGATGCTGTTGTTTATTGGTTGTAGTCAAAAATTTAAGTTAAAAGAGGTTAAGAACCTGTTAGTTTGATGTAAG